GCGGGAAGGGCCCCTTTAGAGGCTGTGCGCCCTCTGCGGCCCCTGGGTGTGCGGCACCTCCTGTCCCAGGCTCTGAGGACACGAGGCACCAGCACTCGCTCTCCAAATTTACCCAGCCACTGCCCGGGCCTCCTTCAGGTCTGCTCTGAGATGTAACAGCCTCTGCGACCGCCAGGCAGAGATCAGACGAGAAGCCCTCATCTGCCCAGAGGCGCCGGCTCTGGTGTGGCTTTTCCAGGGGTCCAAGTAGGTGGCCTCTGGTGGGAGCCAGAGCAGGTGGAGGCGAGCTGGGCCCCAGCTCTGGGTCCTGCCCAGCACTGGCACGCCCACAGCGCTACCCGGCCAGAGGCTGGTGACACGCTCAGGGCTGCTGGCCGGGGGCCTCTGCAAGCATCTTGTGGCTGATTTTTAGGACGCGTCACCCATGTACCAGGACTTGAGCCACCACCCTTGGACGCAGCGATAAGCGAAGGTTTAAACAAAGTTTCCCAGACAGGGTCTTTCTTCAGGAGAAGGAAGGTGAGAACCATTTGGACTCAACTTGCAGAAGGGAGGCGTTCGCTTGTCTGCAGAAGACAGGCGCAGGCAGGGTGACTACACGTGGGCCTCCTCGCGTGTCAGAGAGCTCGAGCAAGCGCGCTGCTTATTCTTAGCCTCATAGGAAATGAGCCATTCGCTCATAAGCCAGCCCAATCACTATCGTCTGCGGAAAATGCCAGGTTTGCTAAAAGCCAGATTCCCAGCGAGCAGAGCCTGTGTGGGGTTTGCAGGGTGGGCTGGGGAGGAGCTGCCCAAGGGCCAACCAAGCCTGGGGGACCGGGCAGGGTGCCCGTGCCAAGAGAGCCCTCTGCCACAGCCGTGCGTGCAGCAGAGGCAGTCCTCAGGACGGCTCCCTGCTGCTGACAGGGGCGTGGGCTTGTCTTGAGGTGGCTGGTGCCCTCGGGTGAAAGCCAGCAGTCCCCAAGAACACATGAGACTGTGCCGGAAGACAGGGGCTCAGAGGCCTTGTCCGGGCCCCTGCAGAGCGGCCAGCAGACGCCCTTCACCGACATGCACACAGGGCCTCGTCTGGGCAGCTGCTCACAGCGCCCGTCTCCTGAGGACACTTCCAAGAGCCCTTTGACCAGGACACCGCCACCCTCACCTGTCACTTATCACTCGGTGAGAGGGCGGCCATGGAGAGGGGCTGTATCCGCCAACCCTGCCAAAGCAGCCCCCACGGGCCGAGCCGCCGGGCGGGGCTCTTGACGCCCCAGGAGAGGCGCGTGAGTCTGTCTTTTTAGCCAACAGATCCACCGAGTTTCCTTCCACTGTGGACGGTCTCCGCAAGCGCCCCCGACTGCTCCTGGGCCCTAAGAGCTTGGACACGGGCTTCTCCCCTGGAGGGCCACCACAGCACCCCAGGGGCTCTGTCGCCCGCGCTGGGGATTAAGGCCAAATGGTTCTGGTGTTACTAGAGAGGGAAGCATCTCCCGAGCCTTCCCAAGCCTGAAGCAGGGGGACCTGGGAGAGAAGGCACGGAGTAAGACTGAGTGAAGAAGCTGTGGGGGACTCCCCCAAATTCAACCTGAGCGAGGCCAGAGGACCCCCGGCCCCAGCCCTGAGCCCGGGCCCTGCCTGGCCACCCCTGCCCGGGGGATGAGGGTGGCGCCCAGCTCCGCCAGGAGCATGGCAGGGACTGCCTGACACCCCGTGAGGAAGAAGGCGGACAAGACCCAGCCTGAAGAGCTGCTCTCTGGGCTGCAGTAGTTCTGTGGACCTGGGGCGCTCTGCGGGGGGCGTCGATGAGAGGCTGACGCACCCCACCCGCGGGCGGCAGGCCCGGTCAGCCTCTCCCTGGGCGCGGGGCGGCGCCCTCTCGGGACGCTGTCGTCAGGCCCGGAGCCGGGCTCCCCTTCGAGGGCCCAGCCGGTACCCAGAGGGAGGCCTGCCGACGTCCACGCCCCCGGCCCCGCGCCCCCTCAGTTGTTCTCGATCTGCTCAATGTCCAGCTCACCGTCCAGGGAGCAGAGGCTGTTCCCGGGGGCCCCACGGTCCCGCCAGGCTGGGGCCGGCTCCGCCCTCCGGCCGTGATCCTCGTCCAGGGTGCAGCCGTCCGACTCCTCGCAGGACAGGTCTTCCTGGCAGGCCAGGTGGTCCTCGAAGGAGGGGGGGAGAGGCTCGGGCACGGGGGTCCCAGCAGGGGTCCTGCCCCCGGGGCCAGAGGCCGAGAGCAGGGCGGTCCAGGCCCGGGCGCTGCTGTGGAGGGCGAAGGGGCTCCCGGGGCCGCGGTCCTCTGTCCCGGCGCTCAGGCAGCTGAGGCTGCTGAAGGTCTGGCAGTTCTGTGGAGGGGCAGACACGGGGGTCGCTCGAGAGCCGTCCTCCCTCCCAGAGCCCCAGGACCGCCCGCCCCAGGAGCCCCGTCCGCCAGGCTGTGGCAAGAACACCCGAATCCCGGACGCCTCCCACCTGGGCGGGACAGGCGGCATCGGCCACCCGCTCGTGAAGAAACACCCCTGCCGGGGAACAGTCTGTGTTCATAAGGAAACGCAGAATTCAATCCTTCACTTGCTAAGTTGGCAAAGATCAAAAGCCTGATGAACACCTGATACCCGGGTCAGGAGAGGCTTCTGGGAAACAGGTGAGCTCCTAACACCTCACGGACAGCCTTTCTCAAGGGTGACCAGCCACCAAGGTATGAGACTCCTTGACTAGGCCATCTCACTACTGAGCATTTCATCTGAAGAAAACAGCCTGGCCAGGCACAGTGGCTCACGCCTGTGATCCCAGCACTTTGGGAGGCGGGAGGACGGCTTGAACCTAGGAGTTCGAAGCTAGCCTTGGCAACACAGCAAGACCACGTCTCTACAAAAATTTTTAAAAATTAGTGGGCCTGTAGTCCCAGCTACTCAGGAGGCTGAGGCAACAGTGAGCTGTGATCATGCTGCTGCACTCCAGCCTGGGCAACAGAGTGAGATCCTGACTCCAAAGAGAAAAGAAAACAGCCACAGATGTGTGCAAAAAATGGAGCCATCTGAACATCCCTCATCATACTGTTGAATGGAAAAGAAGAGGGTGACCCCACCCCCCTTCAACGATGGTTAAATCGAGTGTGTATTTCGGACAAGAGGCATCACGTGGCCGTTGCCATTTGCTGACACACAGCAACACTCCCCTTGAGAAGGGGTCTGGGTGGAAATACCACCGGGTGGCACCGTTACACACAGTGGGACAAAACGCCCCCCCCACCACTTGCCACAACTGGGGACAGGGTGATAGGGGCCAGGAGGGCGGGGTTGGTGCCCCGAACCTGGGGCATATCACCACCACCTAGGGGGCCAGTGGAAACACGGGTTCTAGGCCCCGCTGGGAGATGATGGATTGCTAGAAGGGAGCACCTGGTGCCTTCCACAGGTCCTGGGGGTGATCTGCTGGAGGAGGGGCGGGGCTCCAGGCTCCGGTGCTCACCAGCTGGGGTCCTCACCTGGCAGAGGCACGCACAGTCCCGGCCTGCCTCCCCCGGCCCTCGAGGCCCCGAAGAAAGAGTGTGGCTGCACCAGGGGGTGCATTTCAGCATCCGCTCCCACAGTAGAGCACGACATCAAGCCTTGCACTACCCCAAACCGATGCACAGTCCAGTGGCAAGACGGGACAGAGGCTGGGACTGTGGGGGCGCTCCCGGCCCGGCCACAGGGAGCCCCAGCAGCACCATCCCTGTTCAGAGGGACCTCCGGGGGCGGAGGAGCCAGCACAGAAAGCAGGGAGGGTCCCAGGCTCCGGTTTCTTCCCTGCACACGGCTAGGGCCAGGGAGCAAAGCAGGGACCTGGCACGCCCGCCGTCTCGTGGGCCGCATGCCTGCTGATGGCGAGATCACAGACCTGTCCCGAGGGCCCCGGGCCTTTCAAAGGCTGCAGTGTGTGCGTGTCGCTTTGAAATAAAGATGACCACCGGCCGTCGCAGCAAACAGGCGGCTGAAACAGCCTCAGAAAACGGAAAATAAAAGGCGCTCTCTGGAGGAAGGTGGCTGTGCCCGTCGCAGGCAGGCGCAGTGTTCCCAGACACTCTGTGAGGACGCCGTTCTGACGGGCCTGCTTGTCTCGGGATCTTCTGATGAACCAAGAAAGGGGAAGGCTGAGGTGCTGGGGAAAGCTCAGCACGGGGACCGGGGAGAGAGGGCCAGGCCCAAGGAGACCCGAGATGCCAGCCCAGGCCCCTGCAGGTGGCCTCCGTGGAGGTGCAGAGCCCCGCCTGGGCCATGGTGGATTCAGTGCAGCCTGGCGTGCACAGAGCACACGCCCACCCCCACCACAGCAGAGGCCTGGGAGCTCACACGCAAGGAGTCCCAAGATCCCGACAGCCCTCCATCAGGCTTGGAGGAAACATGCAATTCCCAAAGCAGACCTGCCGCTTGGCAAGACGAAGGCCGTGGCGTCTGTGGCGGCAGGGTCTCGGAGGCCCTCCCGCCTCCTGGCCGCTCCCGCAGCGGGCCCCTCCGCCGTGCGTCCCTGGCTCAGGTCACCCTGACAGAGGGTGCTCTGGGGTGAAGCCAGGATGGATAAGGCCTCAGCAGACCAGGGAGCCAGACCCGACCTCTTGATCCCTGGATGAGCACTTGCTTCCTGGCCTGTGTAAGTTGTGGCATGTAAGCATGCATTTAAATAACAACGTGCAGTACAAGCCTGAGCACCCCAAACGGGGGGCCATGAGCAGGCTCTAGATGGGTGACAAGGCACTGAGGCCGACAGCCCGCGCGTGCTAGTCATGTCTGCTCACGCCAGCGTGCCCGAGGCCTGGACACTTGCCACTGTTTTCTGTGCGCTCCCACGCGGGAACAGGCAGGAAGCACAGCCTGGCACGAACCTGGACAGAGAATGTTCCAGCCTTCTCATTTCTATCCAGGGTCTTCCTGCTCGATTGCACCTGCATACGGCCTAGGGTGCAGGTGGGTAGCGGTGCCTAACTGTACAGGCATTGTCACGGCATAGGTCCGGACGCTAGCTGTGGTGCTGGAGTCTGTGGCCCCTTGCAGACTCGTGCTGAAGTCTAATCCCCAGGGCAGGAGTATGAGGAGGTGGGGCCTTTGGAGGTGATTAAGTCATGATGGTGGAACCCTCATGGACGAGACCAGACCCGGGGACCCCTGCTTGCTGGACCTTTCAGAGACGTGTGACTTTTGCCTCAAATGTGCCCCAGAGAGGGCCAAGGTCAGACGGACGGACTCGGGCCCGGACTCTCCCCACCCAGGCGTCAGGGCTTCACACAAGGCTCCCCTGCCTCTGTGTTTTGGCCCACCTGCCAGGTAAGGGCGGCCAAGGGCTGGCCTACCTGGCCCTTCTCACTGGGAAGCAGAGTGAGAAGCTCCAAGCATTTGGCTGGTGAATCTTGTCACAAGCAGCCCAAAGGTACCTGTTATTCGGCTGCAAAGCCATTGTCACCTGGAGAACTTCGTTGACTCAAAACTCGGCCCCTGTAGCCCCAGTAAAAAAACAGCCCCGAGCCGCCCAATGAATGCCCCAACAGGTGGCATGCTCCGTCAGGGAGGAATGTGACTGCCACAATGGGACAGTGTCTGTTCTCCCAGAAGCTCATCTCCCGTGAGCCCACCCTGTGCAGACTCCCAGGGCGAGCCCTCACAGGCCCTGCCACTGCCCTGGGCCCACCACGCCCTTGGGGCCAGGTCCCGCCAGGCCTCTCTTTATAGCTCAGGCTGCTCCCAGGGAAGAGCACTGCACGGGCCTGTCAGAGGCCTGGAGGCCCATGTGCCCTCAAAAGTGTCTGGGGAGAGCTGCAAAGTGGCTAAGTTCAAAGAGCCATGTGAACACACTATTATTCCCAGGCGAATCTGCGGCTCCAGGACAAACTGTCCCCCCGCCGGCCAGCTTCTGTTCTCTCGAGGCCCAGCCCTGCCCAGGTAACAAAGCTCAGTGGGAACTGTCCACATGGCCTCAGCCCAGTGGCCAGAGACTTGGGTCAGGGTCCCACTCCTAGAGTTGCAAAAGGCAGCCCCCGGCAGCTTGCGAGGTGAGTTTGCTCAGCCCACCCCAGCCAGAAGCAATGGCCCCCTCTTCTGCAGGGCCTTTTCCTGAACAAACTTATCCCTAGACCGTCCTTCTGGGTGGGAGGCCCTGGGGACAGGGACAAAGGTGGCTTGGTCCTTGCTGTCTTGGTACAAGCTGAAAACCAGTCTCTCCACAAGAAACATGTTATTGCAACATGTTAACACCGTGCTGCCGCCCGGGCAGATGCCACCCATCCTGCTGAGCCTCGGCCCAAACAGCCCATTCCCTCCCCCAGGGCCAGCAGGGCGAGCACGCAGGCTGGTGAGCATGCAGGAGGGGCTCAGGAAACATCTGAGCTTAGCTGAACCACAAGCTTTATCAACAGTGGCCCAGAACCTACTATGGGCCGTGAAGGGTAAGGCCTGGCGTGTAGTGGAAACACAGGGTTTCGCTAGGGAACGTTGCCTGGATGCCAGGAGTCTCCACATGCGGGAGTAGCTGTCCAGGCACGAGGACGAGGCCGGCGGGTGTCTGAGAGCTACACCCAGCCCCTCTCGGTCCTGTGGCTATTCTCGCCCGCTGGGTGCTCATCGCCTGGAGCCTGCAGAGTCTTTCCTGCCTCCTCACCTGGGAAAAGGGCGCTGCCGCCTCTGGCCAGGTGCTTGGCTGGGCCATCACAAGGGTCAGCAGGGAATGGGGCCCGCTGGTGCCCGGATCCCTTGCCCTACGGCTGTACCCATGCTCCACGGCCATGGCAGCGGCTGACCGCCCACGGCTGGCCTTTCAGAACTGCTCTGGCCGGGAAACCTAGGAGGGCAGCCCCCAACCAGTGACCGACAGACACGGCGCCGGGAGCCGCCCCTCACTGCAGGCAGGGTCTTATCATCCCAGGTGCCAGTCACACTCCAGAGCCCCAGGGGCGTCAGGCCGAGGCCACGCTTCAGCTGGGTGCCCTCTGCTCGGCTTCCCCGGTCCTGTAGGCGTCCCTGGCCTCCCGGCTGGCTCCTCCTGGGGACGTCCCTTCATCTGTCACTTGCGCAAGAATCTGGGCTCAGGCTGTGTTCTGGGAAGCCCACCCAAGGCCGCAGGTAGAAGCCCTTGGGGCGCTGCTTGTCAGTACTACTGTTCTTTCCAGAAGGGCGCCCAGCCTGGTCAGAGCCTGGCCGCTAGGCCCTGGGAGGAGTCCAGCGGCTGGCCCCAGCCCGCCCGGCGTGTGCTGGGGAGCGCTGGCTGTCAGGGGCACGTCTCCTTGCTTGGTCAGCCTCCTGAGTGGAGTGCCCACACGAGCCTGCCCCTCAGCCTCTGACCACAGCAAGCCCGTGGCCCAGACGTGCTCGCGTGC